GGCCCACATGAGAGACAAAAAATAGGAAGCTGCTCTTAACTCTGTTCTAGAATCTCTTCTTAAGTTCTCTCAGGTTTTTTGCCACCACATCTGGGTGCCAAATGTAGTCAGAAGTTTGCCCATATCTCACAGCCTGTCAGTCCCAAGTGAATACACAGAGGCTTATATTAATTACAAACTGTTTAGCCTATGGCCCAGGCTTCTTGCTAGCTCTCTCATCTTAAATTAACCCATTTCTATTAATCTATGTTTTGCCACATGGCTGTGGCATTACCTGTCTGCTGACATGTTGCTCCTTGGGCAGTGGGCTGGTGTCTGCCTAACTCAACCCACTTCTCCCTGCATCTCTCTAGAATTTCCCACCTGACTCTTATCCTGTCTTGCCATAGGCCAAAAACAGTTTCTTTAGCAACACATATTCACAGCATACAGAAAGATCATCCCATGGCAAGAGCTGGTGGACACAAGAATGAAGTAGAGCTGGTGGGTGGGAGTACAGAGTCTGGTGCTAGCCAGCTCACCTGCTTCAAGTAACAGAGTGTGTGGTGTTGGGCCAGCTACACTACCTCACTGTAGCTCAACCTTCTAAAAAATAAAGAAAAAGCATTTTATTTATTTTGTGTGAGAGTGGGTGTATGCCACAGTGTGGATGGGTATCAGAAGACTGGTTGTGGGAGCTAGTTCTTTCCCTTCACCATGTGGACTGAACTCATGCAGTTAGGCTTGACAGCAGGCACCTTTACCTGCTGAGCCAACTCACTGTCCCTCTGAAGCTCAACTTTCTTGTCTGCAAGCAAGATAATGATGATGATGATGATGATGATGATGATAATAATAATAAAAATATAATACCTTTCTCATAAAGTTTTTATGAAGAATAGAAACCAGAGTGAGGCATGGTGATGGATGCCTTTAGTCTTGGTGCTTGGGAGACAGATCAAGAGGATCAGGAGTTCAAGGTCATCAGGGTCTTCCTCTGCTAACATGGAGGCCAGTCCTCCAAGTCCCTCACCAAAAAACCCACACAAGATTGCTAACAGACATAGCCCAACTCCTGGCACTGTATACTTGTTTAAAAATATTGTATTTTGCGTAATACCAGCACAATACTAGCTAACTTGTAGCTGTGTAAACCCACAGAGATTTCATAGTGAGAACTTACTCAGGGCTAGAGAATCTGGGCTTGCTTTACCCAGCAGGACTGCATAATGGGATGATTTGACCACAGGTGTGGTTACCAGGTGTTTTGAAGGTTCTGCACTTGTCTTCATGATGTGCTTTGGTCATGCAAGAGTGAGGTCTTTTGCCTCTCCCTTTGGCATATTATTAAAAGCTCTTTTCAATAAAGGACAAGGCTGTTGAGGCAGAGTTCCTAGGATAAGACTGCCATAAAATGCTGCTGTAACTAAAAGTGAAGTTTCAGAGACTGGTGTTTGAACTAAATTGTTGCATTCAGGGGAATTCCAAAAAAGTTTTGGTCATGGGACTTCTCATATTTGGAGCTGTTTGCTTCAGAGGCATTATGACTTATACTGCTATACAGGGACTTCAGGGCAGCTGACGAGCCAGGCCCTGATTTCAAGTGCTCAGAGGAAATTTAAGACTGGTAGCAGAACTCACTTTTTGAACTTTTCAGACTTAAGAAATGGGATGGACAGGAGTGATTCAATTGCAATAGGACGATTTTGAATTTACTTATGCATATAGACTCTATCAACTGTGATGACTTATGTATTGTTTTGTGTATGCATATATGCTTTATTAAATGTGGTGACTCATGAACTGTTTTGTATAGAAATGGAGAAGTTTGGTTTTTTTCTACCCAGGTTCAAGATGCAGCTTAAAAAATTATAAAGAAAAGGGAGAGTTAATATGCCTCAATCTCTTTAATTAAAAAATTTTTTTCTTCTCCCTTGAATGAATTAATGTTAACTTGTGTTAATGTACCTTATGTTTTGTTAGCAAGAAATGTAAAAAGTTGTATTAAGAAATTGCTTTTGGGTGTTTGCTAAGGTTTGTAAAGTGTAAATAGTTCTATTGCAAGTTTGCTTTTGGATGTAAGCTTGTAAGAAATGTAATTATGCATAGTAATACTTGTTAGAATTATTTTAACCTGTTAATGTTATAAGAAGTTTGCTGATTTATTTGATGTGGTTGCATCAAGAGTTTATTGATTTAAAAAAGGGCTTGGTGTGGTTGAGACTGCTATAGACATCTTAGACCCATTCAAAAAGGCCATTCCATCTTTATCATCCTCTACTCCTTTACTAGGAGGCCTAGCAACCATAAGGAGCAGGAGTATTGCTATAATCATTCCAGCTATTTGCAAGATCTTAGTGGGAACCTGATTCAGGGTTGCATAGTGTTAAGCTCTGCACTCTCCCTTGCCAGAGGCTGGTAGTCAGAGACAGGTAAGTCCTCCTTGCTAGCTGTCAACTTAAGACAGAGTGCACTTGGTGGAAAGTGTATCTCAGTGATGGGTAAGGCTGTCTAGTGGTAGAAGGTGACCTAAGGTGAAAGGCACAGTCCATCTGAAGGATCTGAGGGGCCCTTTAAAATATTAAGAAGGGGGAGATGTGGAGATCCACAAGGTTTCCTAGTGAGAACTTACTCAGGGCCAGAGAATCTGGGCTTGCTTTACCCAGAAGAACTGCATAATGGGATGATTTGACCACAGGCATGGTTACCAGGTGTTTGGAAGGCTCTACATTTGTCTATATGGTGTGCTTTGATTGTGCAAGGGGGAGGTCTTTTGCCTCTCCCCTTGGCATGTTATAAAAAGCTCTTTTCAATAAAGGACAAGGCTGTTGGGTATTGACCCAGGCCCTCCCGAAGTTATCCTGTTTTTCTGTCTTTCTTCTCATTGTCTAGGTCTCTCTTTCTATCTATCCTTTATTAATTCCTCTCTCCTCCACCTAAGAACTCTTCAAAAGGTGGGAGCTGCATTCCCACATGCAGCAATAATCATTCCTTTTTCCAATTCTTTTTTTCCTTTGAAGCAAAGTTGGAATTTACTAAGCAAAGTTTTAATAAAGATTTAAGCATAGGTATTAAATGACAGAGGTGCTTAGAAAAAAGACAGTGCATAACCAAGACTCAAATACAGGTTTCCTCCTTTTTTCTCACCCTTACTGGAAATTTTTAACATAAACAATTATATTTACTAGGGTGACAATATTTTGCATCCTGCTCTGGAATCAGAGACCTTTAGCTTTTGCCTCACTTAATGGCCTCTCTTTAGATTTTATTTGTAAACTGGGGGTTATATCATAGAGCTGATGTGAGAGAAAGGAGCAGTTACAGAGTAGATTGTGGAAATGAGGCACCATTGTTTGCTTGTTATGGTGATGGGCAAATGGGAGGAAAACACTTGCCACATAACAGGCTCCAAGTAGTCCCTTTTCTTTCACAGCTTTATACATTGAGAATCCAGGGCCTTTCAAATCAGCAGAACTGTGCTTTGTTGGGTTCAGCTCCAGTCTGCTTCTGGACTGCTGCACTGATCGGGGGAGGGTTCTAAGTATCTTTCTTTTCTCATACAGGACATTTTTGGATCATATTTTCTTTTCTTTTTAAAATATTTTTATTAATTCTTTGAGAATTTCATACATGCATACGGTATATTTTGTTGACTTTTACCTCCCACTCCTTCCCTTAACTTCTTTGGGATCCAGCTCCCATTCCTTACTCCTTCACAAGGTTGTGCCCTCTTTTTTTTTTAACCCATTAAGTCCAATTTGGGTTGCCCATATACTCATGGGTATGGGGCTATCGCTTGGAGCATTGGTGGACCTACCAGGGGCCACACCCTAAAAGAAAACCTACCCCACCTCCCAGATCATCATCAATAGATCTTCAGCTAGGGGAGGCTTATGAGCCCTACCACACCCATGTTATAATGTTGACTCATTTCATCTTGTGCAGGTAACTACAGCTGCTTTGAGTTTATGCGTGCAGTGGTCCTATCATGGCCAGAAGACACTATCTTGCCCCAGTCCCCCTAAACCCTAACCTCTGGCTCTTCCATGTCTTGGGCCACATTTTCTACTCTCATACTTCTCATCACAAAGCTTATGTGTTTCATTGTAGAAAGTCTGGAGCTTTCAGGAATTCATGGCAAAGTACCAGTTCCTCTCAGAAAGAAAACATCATTAGCAGTTTGGTACATTTCCTGCTGGACTTTCCATGCTTTGCTTAAAACAAAACCACTATCATAAAGTATGCCCAGTTTTCCTTCCTGCTTCAGGCCTTCTATAGATATGACACTTCTGGTCTGGCAGGGTCTCTCTTTGTGTGGTGATGTTTCATATTTACTCCCTGATGTTTATGATAAGTTCTTCCTATTAGCATACTGTAATTAATCTAGACAGCTTTACTTGTTTGTTTATTTATTTAATGAGACAGGATCTTTCTGTGTATCCCTGGCTTGCCTAGAACTGACTGTAGACCAGGCTGACATTAGACTCATAGAAATTTGCTTGCCTCTGACTCCTGAGTGCTGGAATTAAAGACATGTATACCTGGGTCCTAAACAACATTCTTCATTGTTGGTAGTTATGTATTTACTTGTGCAGTTATGTGCATATTTCTGTCCCCATGATGGAATTGTAAGCTTCAGGAAAATGGAAACAATGTCTACTTGCAACTGTGTGCTATGTACTAGCACAAGGATGATCCCTTAACATACAATCTTTGAATGAGTGAATAAATAAATACAAATATTGAAGCATAATTAAAAATGCATGGTTTATATTGGTTGATGGCAGGGGGGCAGATGAAGCCTTTTTTTTTCTTCAGGATTTCAGAAAACTGTGGATTTCTGAAGCCACCTGCTAAGGTGGGAGGATAACTGAGTTGGAAATCAGGAGACCTATGGTATCCTTTCACCCTGCTAGTCCCTGCCATCATCAGCAAGTCACTGACCTTCACCAAACCCTCATTTCCTTACCTGTTGTGCTTTTCTCCCAGGGAATTGCACAATCAGGTAAAATAATGCATGGGAAAGTTCTCACATGATAAAGGGCCATATAAATATGGACAGAACAGCTTTCCATGCATATTTTCCTTGACTGATAAGTCACTTGCAAATTCTGTCCCCAAGATCATTTCCCACTTCAAAGAGTAATAATCACAAATATTTATGAGTGTAAATGCTTTAAGCAGGCAAATACATTTTATTTCATATATGTACATATAATTCTTTATTGATTCTTTGAGAATTTCACATCATGTACCCCAATCTCACTTATCTCCAAGTCCTTTGATATCCACTCCTCACCCCTGCAACATCTCCCCCAAAAGAACGCCCCTCCAAATTTATTGAAAAACAAAACAATCAAAGAAACCATCATCTTTCCCATCTCTCCAACACCTCTTCATTTTTCCTAGTGGTATGGCGAGCTTCAGTGTGTAACACAGTATACCCTTTTGTCCAATCAGCCCCACCCACAATGTTCATTGCAGAGAGTTATTGGTCTGGTTCAAGGCCTCTGATCTCTGACACACCATCGCTGGACCCTCACCAAAACTCCTCTCAGATATATCCTACTGTTGCCCTGAGTCATGGAGATCCTGCAGCTATTGTTCCACAAAACCAGTTCCTTCATGTGTTCCAGCAGGTTATTAGTATGGTAAATGTTAGGGTGGGCCAACCCAAGGTCCAGGATGTCGGTCTGGGTGGTAGCTGAGCTGGTCAGTCTGGACCACTGTGATGGCCCCCTCAGGCGAGGGGTGGAGCCAGCTCTCCTAGGCCCGTGCCATCAGGGTCAGCTGTCCCACTCCCATGGTGAGGGGTAGGGCCAATTTTCCCAGGTGCAGGGGCCATCTCTCTTGTTGCAATATGAAGTGAGGGGCAGGGCCAGATATCCCAGGGCCAATGGTGGTCGGGGTGTGCTCAGCATGGTCCTCAGATTTCAACATGCATTGTTCCTATGGACCCCTGTGATGACATGGGCCATGGATTTCAACACAGACATCAGCTGAAGCAGGACCATAGACCCAGACATGGCCCTCAGCGGCAGCTCTGACCTGGATATCACCATGGCCCAGTGGCAGTGCAGGCCACCCAGATCAGTATGGCCCTGGCTTCAGCATGTCCCTTTGAGACAAATTTTTCTTTGGACTGCCAGCTCACAAAAAGCAACATAAAGACTTATTATTAATTATGAAAGCTTGGCCAATAGCTTAGGCTTGTTCCACTAGCTTTTATAACTTAAACTAACCCATTATATTAATCTACATTTTGCCTTATGGCTTTGTACCTCTCTTCTGTCTATGCCTCCTGTTTACTCTCTATGTCCTCTGGACAGTCCTCAGTGGTAACAGGAGTCATGGACATCAACTTAGACCTTGGCTGATGCAGAGCCATGGACTCAGATGTGGTCCTCAGCGGTAGCCCAGGCCTGGATGTCACCATGGCCACAGGTGGCAGCACAGGCCACTTAGGTAGGCATGGCCCCAGCAGCAGCATGGACCTCAGACACCAACATGGCCCCAGGTGGTGTTCTAGACCCTGGGCATCTACATGGCCTTTGACGGTATCAGGAACCACAGACATCAACACAGCCTACCCTCACTGTGGTAGGACCATGGATCCAGACATGGCCCTAGGTAACAGCCTGGGCCCAGGTGGCAAGCAGGCCACCCTCATCAGCCTATTCCTCACCACCTTTGATTCTTCAGTTCTGCTTCTTTCCACAGCACATGAACCATTCTGCTTCTCTTTCTCTCCTATTTCTCCACCTAATATATTTGCTCATCACAATGACACCTTCCCATCCAGTGATGCAGTGTGCTGGGTGGGCCTGTGGATGCTTTTAGCCAGCCTGGACTGTGAGGACCCAGGCTGGCCCATAGGGGTTTCTACATTTTTTTTCTTACAGGCAGATGTTATAGAGTTTGTTTCAGATTTTTAAAAGTGTGTGTGTGTGTGTGTGTGTGTGTGTGTGTGTGTGTGTGTGTGTCTCATCTCTCTGTCTGTGTGAGTGTATGTGTATGTCAAATGACACACATGGAGGTCAGAGTTCAACTTGCAGGGGTCAGCACTTTCCTTCTACCATGAGATCCTGGGGATTGAACTGGAGCTCTCAGGTTTGGTGGCCAGCACCTTTACCAGCTGAACCACCTTGCTGGCCTGTTTGTTTTAGTTTTCTACTTGGATTGCAAATAAAATAAAATAAAAATTGTGATATATTGAGATAACAGAAACTTCCATGTATATTTCTTTTAAATTTCCACTGGCTGTTGCAGTCAAGGTATTTTCAACAAACTAATGAATATCAATTAAATAGATTATTTAAAGATATTCAGTTTTAAAATATATTTTACCTTATTCAACAGGAAAGGAGTATAATATTTGGAATTTCCCGAGTGGGGTTAATTTCTTTGTGGTATGACTATTGTTCATATTTAGTGGTGATGTGGAAGAAAGAAACTTCTCTACATTTTAGATGCTGAGAAGTAACTCCTGTGTTTAAATTTCATCATGATTGTTTGATGGTTTTCCATTGAGTCTTGTCATTTCCTCTCAATTTTAAGTGATCTGAAGGTATTCCAAATGTGTGTGTTGAGAAGACAAACACATGGAGGAACAGATGAGAATCAGGATGATTATGGCAGAAAAGTCTCTTCTCCGTGGAAATTGTGATCTCGTGGAGAAAATGAGGCTGATTGTTGATTTTATTTATTAAATACTTGAACACTCTGTGTTGACAAGGAATCATTTTTTTATTTTCTTTCTTACCTAACCAATTAATGCATTGAAGAAGAAAAAATTATTTGAAAGTTTCATTGCCTTTGTTTCATAGATAACATGTAATATTTTCAAAGAAAATATCAATTGTATCCAGATAATATTATTTCATAAACTCTTCAGAACTCTATTATTATCATCAGTTAGAAGTGAGGAGTTGGAGACTCTGAGTAAAATGACTTGTCTGAGACTGCAGAGATAATAATAACAGTGATGGCTAGTGTTAGTTGAACGCTTATTCTGTGTTAAGCCTTCCTCATATGTGCTTACATTAAATCTTCACTGTAGCTCTATTACTTCACACATGATATGTGACAAATGAGGATTATGAACAAGAGTTAAGAAAGTTGCACAACTGATTCTTTGCTTAATGCTCTTCTATAGATGCAAGCTAAATGTTGAGTAAAAGTAATGCAATCTCATGTTCTTAGCATACATATGTCTGAAATTCACTTATAAAGTAACTGGTGTTCCTTATTTATTTATTTTTGTGCAGTGAGATAATTTGAACATGGATGGCTGACAATGATTAGTAGAGACAGGAATTCAGCTCTTCTTACCACACCAGGCTTTCTTTAATATATATATATATGATTTTAGCACAGCAGTTGGCAACTTTCTACTCCAAAGCTAAGATGAAGAGGCACCAAAAACCTTATCTTTTGAATATTGGAGGCTGGGTGCTAATTTCAGAATCTAATGATTCCCGTAATCATCTTCTAAGACTCAATCACTCCTCATGCCCAAGACCATTAAACTTTGACAAGCCAAAGAGAAACAGTCATGTGGTCAGAGTCTTATGACTTTGGCCTACAATGGTTACTTTTTTGAAATCATAGATGGGGTGCTCTGAGGACCACCTACAGAGATGGACTGAAAAAAAAGAGAATGTCTTATTTCTTAACAAGCTAATCTCACTCTAGTGCAGCGGTTTTCAACATGTGGGTCACAACCTCTTTGGCAAACCTCTGTCTTTAAAAGTGTGTTGTTATGTTTATATTATGTTAGCAAAATTACTATTATGAACCATCAACAAGAATAATTTTATGATTGGGGGTCACTACAACATGAGGGATAGTGTAAAGGGGTTGCAGCATTAGGAAGGTTAAGAACCACTGATCTAATAACATGAGGGGATGTGTTAAAGGGTTGTGGCATTAGGAAGGTTGACAGCCTCTGATCTAGAGCCTTTGAGAATAAGGGAATGTAGACTGAAGTGAGATAATGAGGCCAACAGAAGTGAGAGAAAACAGCTTGTACCATCTTGTGGCAAGGTGATGTGTGGGCATCCCAGGGGTCAAGAGGTCACCATGGAAAGTAACTAGATTTGAGCTGAGTTTCTAGTACTAGTTAACTCTATAACAATTAAAATTATTATGTTTATTTTCTCACAGAAGTTACTAATCAGTAGGTTATGGGGTAATGTCAAGGGTAGCAACTGAGGGTCACTAGAAGACAAAGACAGATTGACTCTTTGTATTCTGAAGAGTACATGTCCTAAGGAGGCCCCCAACAAAATCCTTACAGAGGTACCAGATGGAAAAACCAGTTTTGAATGCCCACCACACAGAGGCTGATCAACAGAATCAGAGAGAACACAACCTCAGAGCTGAGAGGATCCTCTTGCTCCCTTCTGTTTCTCTCTAAGCCCCGCCTACTACTTAATAGAAAAAGGTAGGAGGGACCCACCTCTTCTGGTTCTGGCTCTGGCCACAATTCCTAAGCTACAGAGAAGGCTAGAGGTGCTGAAGACGAGACTCTAAATGAGATTGGATGTCTTCCCAATGGAGTTCTTTCAGAGCTGTTTGTAAGGGATGAGAACGGGGAATTTAGTGAGTGGGATTAAGATGTAGGAGAAAGTAAGGTATTCATTTTATGAAGTAAGGGTAGTTGGACTGCCTATTACCTATGTAATATTTCATGTAGAGAGTACATACACATAGTATAAAATAATATACCTATAGCTCACTGAATAGTTTTAATCCTTTTCAAATATACAGAAGGCTTAAGATGTGATATTTTTAGGAACCAAGTAGCATTTTTAAAAAAGCCCCCCATTATTGTGTATACAAAAGGAAACTCATGACAGCAGCCAACAAAGTCACCTTCTTTTCCTGTTGTTACTTCTTTGTCACAGCTTATCTCCTGGGAGGAAGCCAGGCACTTACTCATAAGGAGTTCTGACTGGTACACTTATAAATTCAACCAAGTGGTAATATTTAATAAATGGCTTTTTGTGGTAAATACATGAGGAATTGAAGAATCTAAAAAAGGTCAGGCTACAATTTAAGGCATTTTCCCCCTCAGGTAACTGAAGAGAACTAGAGGTAGAATATGCCAGAAGTTGTCATTTGGGTTTTTGAAAATTATTTCTTTTACTTTTTGATATTATAATATAATTACATAATTTCAATGACCCCTTACCTCCTTCCGAACTTTCCCATACACCTTGCCCTCTATCCCCTCTCTTCTTTCTATCCTCTTCTTGCTCTCTATTCCCTCCTTGCTCTCTATCAAATAGTGGCCTTTTTAAAAAAATATGTAATGTGGATTTTTCTGTGGTCCTCACAATTCTCTTTGATCTGCAGCCTGCTCCTCTTAGTTGCAAGACAGTTCCCCAGGTGTATTTGTTGCTGTGAGACAAGTTCCCTCCAGTCTTAGTAGATTTAAGCACTAAGAGTTTGCTATCTCCATTCCTGTGATTGAGGCATCTAGGGATGGCTTAGCTGAATGGCTCTGTTTCACCATCTTCTTGAGGTTGTACTCAAGGAGTCAGACAGGCTATGGTCTTCAGAGACCTTATTAGGTCTGAAGGATCGACTCCTAAACTAACTTAGTGTCTTTAGTGAAGACTTCAGTTCTTTGCCTTCCTACACTGTTTTTTATGGCAGGGCCCCTGACTTCTCCCAAAGCAAGGACAAGAAAGAAACAGAGATAATAGTTATAATGTAATCTCAACAATGACATGCTACCACTTACTTCCTATTCTTTTAAAAAATATATTTACTATTCCATTGACCATACAGATTAACCTTTTCAATCTCTCTTTCTGTGTCTCTCTCATCTATCTATCTATCTATCTATCTATCTATCTATCTATCTATCTATCTATCATAATTTATATATCTGTCTATGATTAAGACTGGAATCTTTGAGAATCATTTTGGAGGCCAGATACCATATCTGACTCATGTAATTCCTTGCTTTTGTCTTGAAAGCTAGCTGCTTCAATTAGCAGCTAATAGTGGGGAAATAATCCAATTATTGCTTGTTTTACTCTATATGTCCTGCACATTAGCTGGTTAAAAGTTTGTGTGGTTTGTGACACATTCATGCCTCAAAAAGGAACCAAGTTTCATGGGTGCAGCTTCCTTGTTAGATACAGAAGACAGGCTCTCCCAGCAGGTGTCATAGTCCACTGACTCTGACAGTCTCTCCACTCCTTCTGTGATGTCTTCTGAGCCCTGCATGTAGGGGTTGTATTGTAGGTGTAGCAGTTGGGGCTGGCCGTCCCATGGTCAGTTGTTCTGGGCATTTTGATCAATTGAGGATTTCTGTAACATTCTCCAGCTGCTGCTGAAAGAAACTTCTTAGTGAGGGGTGAGAACTGCACTTATCTATGGGCATAAAGTGATATTAAGAATGTAGTTGGAGGGGCTGGAGAGATGGCTCAGAGGTTAAGAGCACTGGCTGTTCTTCCAGAGGTCATGAGTTCAATTCCCAGCAACCACATGGTGGCTCACAACCATCCATAAAGAGATCTGGTGCCCTCTTCTGACCTGCAGGTGTATATGCAGACAGAACACTGTATACATAATAAATAAATAAATCTTTTAAAAAAAAGAATGTAGTTGGAAATCAGACTGCTTTAGCAAAGTGGCAGTAGTGCATCCTCTTCTGGACACTAGAATCTCACCAGTCATGGGTAATTGGCTAGGTATACAGTGCTAGGAGTGAATTTCTGTTTTTGAGTAGTCCTTAAGTCCAATTAGGAGGATGTTGGTTGTCCCTAAGATGTAAGTACCACTGTTGCACCCTTGGGGATGTCTTGCTGTGGTGTTCGTTGTTGTGGTTCACAGGTTTTTTAGCTGGGTTAGACTACTGACTGCTTCTCTCCATTGGCAGCTTACATAGCACCTTCAGCTGCTATGAGAGTTTGTTTTTAGGGAGCATGCTTCCAGGTCAGTTCCAGCTCGACTCCCTCAAGTCCTATGACAGAAAGTGTATGGTAGCCAGTACAATGGCAACACTAGTTAACATGCCAATGTGATGCGGGGTGCGGGGGGAGGTGTTCAAGACATTACTTCTAGATGAAGAGCTATAGGCAATTAATGGCTGCTGAGAGGAGACCCCTGATTATTCAATCCTGTGGTCAGCCCTAAACACACATGCATATGAGCAACTCTAATACAGTTTGTATTTATATACAAATGTATATATAAATAGTAATAATTAAAGGGTTCGTGAATTTGAGAGAAAGTTGGGGACTCAGGAGCTGGGGACTGAAATGATGTAAATATAGCACTTATATTTGAAATTCTTTTAAATAATTAAAAAATTTGAAAAAGATCAAGTAATAGGGTAAGTGCAGCTGTGAGTGCCTAGCATCATCTTATATTATGAGGGGTTTTTCTTGGTTCATGATATATACATATATATATATATACATACATATATATATATATATATGTATATACAATGAAATATCCTCTTCATAGTGATAAAGGTTACATTATTTCTTCTTAGATGGACTGGAACATGTCCAACATGGTACATGGTGGAAAAAGCTGACTATTTAACTGTTTAACATTTCAGATATTGAGATTTAATTTGTGTTTTACTTATCCCTGAGAAATACTGTGGAAATACTCCTTATAGTAAATTTGCATTATTTCTCTAGTCTATGTACTTGACTGTGGAGTGACAGAAATGTGTAAAAGAAAACATTTTTTTTCTGAGGCAGAATAGATTCATCATTGAGTTTTCCTGCCAAATGCTGAATTAGATAGTGGAAAAATTCTATTTATTTGGAGTTTGTGAATCTGCCAGCAAACTGTTGGGAAAAAATAAAGACAAGTCAGATGAGGACTTGGGTTATGGAATGAACCATAGATGACATATGACTGCACTTTTTAAGAGAGAATATAGTTTTTCCCCACCTTTTTTTCCTGGTTTCAGAGCCTTTACTAACTTTGATTTGCATAAAACATTTCTATTATACTAAAGAAAAGCAGAAAGGAAAACATTGCATACTGTAGTGTTGAAGTGTTGAAATCAACCTTAAGGGTCAGGAAATTGAAAATACGCTTCCATAGAAACACTAATTTAGTCAGCTCCCACATCTTGTTTCTGAGCCATTAGTTTACTCTTATGATGGAAAGAACATAATATTTACTCTGTATTGTGGTTAAGTTAATGTTACAATGCAAAATACTTTCATATTTTCTGCATGCCCATTTTGAATCCTCTTATTATGGTAGGTTTGACTTTCAGCTGCTTGCATATACTAGAAAGTGCAAAAATATAACCGGTTTTTAAAATTGAAGACAAATAAGAAATCATGAACATACAACAACTTAGAAAAACTACAGCAGATAAAGGTCAACTAGAATTTGAAAGATTGCACTGCTTGCTGATTTTTCTAATTTATTGTCTTCTAAGTTTTCAGAGAGTCACGTTCTGTGCAGTATACTTGGTGTCTAGTCCTTTTGTAGTTTAGTAAGTTCATGGTGACTGCTGTAGTTCCAGTGACTAACTTTTCACTAGAAGTCTTTCCCTCTATTACATCCTAGCAAAGACACACCCTGCCTCTCCTCTGGCACACAAGCCCAGCTCATCTTTATGATGGGCTCTTACACTCACCTAGGCCTCCTGTTGTGTGTTTCAGATCTGCTTCTTAGTAGAATAACAAAATGATACATGTCATATCTTGGAGGCTACTCATGATGGTCACATCGACTTTTAGCTGCTAAACAACACTGCAATTCTGGGGTAAATCCCACTTGGTCCCAGTGTATGATTCATTTTATGTGTTGCTGGATTTTTTTCTAGTACTTTGTTGAGTTTTTTTTCTCATGTGTATGCATAAACAATATTGGCCTATAGTTTTCTTGTGATATTTATGAATAGTAGAGTGTACTTTACCTAAACTTTCAGTTTATTCAAACATATAAAAACAAATTTAATAAAATAGGACAAACATGCTTCTTGGTATTGTGAATGTTAATAAAATTTACTTAGTTGACTTATTTATTTTTTAACCTTTTGCCTGTCAGAGCTCTAAGGAGTGTTCTTGAGTTGCCAGGCAGTGGTGGCACATGTCTTTAATCCCAGCACTCAGGAAGGCAGAGGCAGGTGGATTTCTGTGAGTTTGAGGCCAGCTTGGTCTGCAGAGTCAGGACAGCCAGAGGTACACAGAGAAACGCTGTCTTGAAAAACCAAAAAAAAAAAAAAATTCTCTAGTTAAGAGATACTTAATAAATGCTTAGCTTAGACTTGTGTGCGGTCCTGGGAATGCATTAACAAATGATGAATAGTAGTAGTTAGAATAACAGTAAGTCACATACTGTGTTAGAACACTTGTATGTGACCTCAACCCCCTTCTCTTTCATATTCAGTGGCACCTGTGAAATACAGCAAGTAATTGCATGTCATTTATAGGCTCACTGTGAATATTGAATTAAGATTATTTGTGAACTCTACCTGGCACTTGCTAATAACTATACTTTAGTGATTATTACCTATTATTTCTATTATTATTTCCTTTTATTATACAATAATTTAATGTAATTCTCATAGCCATCCCATCAAAGAGGTTAGTAGCACCTCCAGTTTCACAGCAGAGACATGCAACAGGATTAGAGAGAAGCTCTCTGAGGCCTTTGGTGGTGTGAGTGGCGGAAGCAGTCATATCGAGGCTGCACTCGGCTGTCAAGCCAGCACTGCCGCACTTACAGAGCCTTTCCCTGGGTTAAAGGAGCTCTCACATAGTTTACCAGGAATCCTTGTCTAACAGCCAGCTTAAATCCTTCAGCTTCCAGAAAGATCTTTTAGAGACACATTCCTGTCAAGTCAGTTTGAAAAATGGAACAGAAATATTATCAATTGTGTTTGAATGCTGTTTCTTCATTAGTATAGAGAAGAAATATGTCTATCCATAATGGCAGCTTAAAGTCAAAACATTCCAATATTTCCTTGTACATTCATTTTGTGAGTTCAGTGTTCAGTGGAGGGAAAGTGTAATTAGTATATGAAAGCTATTTTTCTGGATTTTCCTTTAATGTTGAAAAGCTCAGCTGAGCAACCCACACTTTGATGTGTGTTTGGATCCACCTTCTGCTCATGATTTGACTCGTTCCGTCACTGTTTTTCAGGGAAAGACACAAATTACATATGAAAACTTTGGTTTTCTGGACTTTTCTTTAAGGTTAAAAAGCTTAGTAAAGGATCTTTGTTGTCTGCAGGGACATTCTTTCTGCTCTTGGATTTAGTCCTTGTTTGATCAAGGACATAAATTCTAGTGTCTTCTGACCACCTGCCTCTGGGTCAGGTTCCCCCATTTCTGTGGTTGTTAAATCTCCAGTTTTCATACCACATGAAAATTGTAACAGGTCATGTGACAGCGGAAAGAGGGTCACTACATACATGTGAAGCCAAATGTATAAATATTTAGGGCCAAACTTAGTTCACTACTCTCATGTAGAAACAGGATGTTGGGGGATAGGGGGTAAAAAGAGCTGTCACTCAGGGAGAAAGATGAGAGAACCTGGGCTGCGGAGGCATCAGAAAGAAGAAATCTAAGTAGAGGAATTGAGCAGTGACGAAGAGTGGCGATGGGGCTACCACTGCATTCCTGCTAAGAGGCACTGGCAGTGGGCTGTCCCTTCAGATGATGATGCAGCAAAACCAACTTCCCTGGAAAGGAGAAAAGAAAGACTTACCACCTGTGTCTTCCTGTTGGCCCAGTAACTCTCACTAGGGTTTCCAACCCTAGATCAGGAAATTAGGCTCACCTTCTCCCCTGGCCCCCCAATAAATCCCTCAAGGATGGATGAAAACTCAAGAGTAGATAGCTTCTGGAATGAGAAAATAATTTTTATTTTAAAGAAAGAATATTCTAGTGTGCACAAGTATGAACTGCCCAGTGGCCAGATATGTTGTCCTGAGGAATTTTCCTTGTGTTTCTTCCTCTGTCACTTTTTTATTCCTGACTTTTGGTATGGCCCTTCTTTGAAGTGTTGCCTCATACAGCTGTTATGATGTTTAATCTGCAGCTGCCAACTTCTGGTCTGTCAGTTCCAAGAAGCAGGGTGAAGGAGACAGGGGTCTTTCCTGCTTCTGAGTCTTAGCCCCAACCAAGTTGGGATCTCTAGTCAATATTGAATTTTTTTCAAGCCTGGCTTTATCTCATCTCTGCTCTGGAGTAGCACAGCAGAATTCTGTACAGAATTCAAATTGCTTATGCCTACACAAACTTCAATTTATTTCTCTTTCCCTGATTCTTCCCCTCCTTCCATCCAAGTAAGTCATTTTTTTTGGTGCATGTGTGTGTGTGTGTGTGTGTGTGTGTGTGTGTGTGTGTGTATGGATGGATATGTGTGTAATGTTTGCTTTAAAGATCTTTTTTGTTTTTCAAGATAAAAATTGTATTAGAGTTTTAAAGCTAAGTAGGGTATAGGGTACTTTCCTTAGGAAAAACAGAGTAATCATTTAAAAGGCTGACCATCTGGTTTTGATTCTAATGTTAGTGTATTTGACACTTTGAATAAGAGAAGTTGTGGCTTTTCATTTTAGAAGGCTGACTACTCACAATTCTCCTGCCTCTACTATGGCCGTCTAACTTGAAGGTGAAATGGTCTCAAGTGTGCTTATTTCCTATCTGACCTGGCATAGGACAGCATGGATTAGCAGTCAGGAACATGCAGAATTAGTATTTGAAGGCAGAAAGCAGGAAGCAAGTTAAAGCAGCCCCATTCTCAAACATGGGAAGGCATATATGTTAGAATATTGCATTGTGTTGTCTTTTGGGACATTCGATAGTAATATATGACTTTTCCTCTGGTAATAGAAAGAGTTTAGGAGATAAAGTGTAAAGAAGAAAACTGGCGGTTTTAAATTCTCTACTATCTCAAGTGTCTCACATGACACAGTTGCTTATCGAAGACAATTGGGGTCCAGCCTCTAATACTCTTTCACCAGGGTTTCAGAAGAGATGCTACCAGCGACAAGAAATAATCTGAGGGAATGAATCTAAGTACACCGAGTTCATTAATCCATCCACTTTATTCTTCTAGGTTAAAATCTCTCTACACAGCTTCAATTCTGTCCTCATAATCAGCTCCTCTCTGTCCCTTCCTTTCTTGTCCTGTCATTGTTCTATCTAAGTTCCTTCCATCTTCATTCTCCACCATTGACCCACCTCCTCTTTCTCCAGTCCAGTTTAAATTCACATGCAATGCATAATTCTCTGACCCCTCCACTTTCTGCTTGTGGGGATCAAGTCTGCTCAGTAGCTAGGAAGCCTTCATCATAGCTTAATGCACCTGGTGTGTGAGAGCCTGCTTGTTCTGAGTGAATTAAAGGAGGGTTAAGCTGAATTTACACAAGAAGAAAAGGTTTGTACCTAACATCTGCCTGGCCTCGGCCTTGGTCTCCATATGGATATTTACCTTAATTCAGGAGACTAGCAGGTGTTCTGGAATGCTTGTCTATCTGCATTTTGTCCTTGGATGTTGAGAGGTATCTCAGATAAACTACACTGTTAGAAGATCTTAGAAGAAGAATTAATTGGGAAAGCTACCATAGCACACAAGAAAATCATTGTAGGAACTGGCTAATATATATATAAAAGCTAATATTGTTGTACCCATTTCTCAAAACCCCCAGAGACCACCAAGTAGCCGGTTTCTGATGTAAGCACATAATGGTTCTTTTATTCAGGTTCAACCTGGGCCACACCATGGCAGATGGAAGGAAATATGGCAGTAGCCACTAGCCCAGGTGTAGAGAGTTTTTATAGGGAAAAACCACAATCCGGGAATTGGCAATTTGGGATTGGGCAGAAGGGATATTGGGCAAGGTGATTTTTTTAAACTATAGGTCTAGACTTTGGGTGCAAAACCACATTTGAAACCATTGGGTTAGACTTTTGGCGGGGAACCACAAGCCACTGAACAGGATTATTTGGACTGCTCAGCAGGATTATCCAGATATCTTCAAGGGCTATAGACTGCAGACAGGATATCTGATATGGGACAGAAAAGTAATATATGCAGTTATATAAAGAAATAGTTTTAAAAAATAAAGTCTTTAAAGAGAAAGTAAAAGTAATATAAAAAATTAGCCATGTAAAGATGGATATCACACAAAGAATCTGGATTGTGTTGTCTTTGGGATTTTTTTTTTTTTTTTTGTTTTTCGAGACAGGGTTTCTCTGTGTAGCTTTGCACCTTTTCCTGGAACTCACTTGGTAGCCCAGGCTGGCCTTGAACTCACAGAGATCCGCCTGGCTCTGCCTCCCGAGTGCTGGGATTAAAGGCGTGCGCCACCACCGCCCGGCTGTCTTTGGGATTTTTTAACTGCAGACAGACATTTGATTGCAAAGACTGCACAGTTAAACCAATGTGTATATTTTAAAGGTACCGTGACTTCAAAATTTGGATGTAAAGGTATGTTGCTTTGGAAAGGAGGCTCTGCTTTTGTTTCCACAGAAAGCAAGAGACTATGGATTTGTTCCAGATTAAGATACATCAGGTTTGACCAGCCAAAACTCCCTGAAAGGTCTCTGATGACACCATGGCCCAGATGATCCAACATCCAGAATGGTTTCAAGGCAACTGGCTCAGACAATATACCCTCATGGACTACTCTATAATCCTAAAATTTTCTTTATGTCCCCATAAGAATACAGCGCCCTCATCCAGCAGGAAGTAGTATGAGAAGCTACACCCAAATTCCCAAATAAAGCAAGCTGGCTTTGGAGATGGAATTGGCTCACTCCTTCTCTAAACCCAAGCATATTGCTAAAAGAGAAGGTTGAGAGAGTCTTCTGTCCAATATCTGGTGTGGGACAGAGAAAAACCAATGTTTTTATTTAAAGCAGGGTGATTATAAATGCAATCTCTTTCTAAAGAAGAAAAGGGGATAGTGTAGATGTGGTAGGATGAAAGGGTAGATTAATGAACCTACTTTTAGAGAACAACAACTTATTTAGAAATGTTTTACATTGCTATGGATTTTAGTTTATTGATACAAGTTTAAACTTAATTTTGTTATACTATATATATATTTCTACTCTCGTTTGAGGTATTATGTTTATGTAACTCATTTAGATTGTAATAGATAATTAAAAATGCAGGTTAATAATTAGTATTCTATGATAGTCAAACTTGTAGCAATGTTAAGTTTTCTAGGTATACATAGATATAATTCAATTAGATAGGTAATCTTCACATACTTCAAAGACCTACAGAATATGACATTTAAAATGTTTTAAAAAATTTAGACTTTCTGGACAGTGAGACATGTCTGCTCCTGGCAGCATTGATTTACTTCAGAGAGGAGGATGGGCATCGAAGACACTCTATATGGAGTTTATCTTATTCTTGGCAAAAATAGCCATTTGGGCAACAAGCTGTTTTTGTCTGGACTGCTTGATTGATTGTACTGGACCCAGACATTCTACAGGACACAGAGAAGTGACTGAGAGACTCTAGGCCTGTGGGCTGAAGACAGATGCCCCAATTTTACAGAGGAACTTTGGATGACTGTCCAGGCTGCCAGCTGTCTCTGTCTACTCTCACAAGACTCCCAAAAGTTGCTTGCATCCTTCTCCCATTTCTCAGGTAATATTGTATCCTTCTGAGGTCTTCAATATAGTTGAAGACTAGATAGTTATAATTTCTTTAGTTATGATAAAAGATAAGTTAGATATAAAACCTTAGACTCACAAATATAGGATAGATAGGATATCTTCTTTAATTTTGCCAAGTACAAATAGACTAGATACTATAAATAGACTAGATATTGTAACTGTAATTCTTGCTTGATAATTGTTCTGTTATATGTAATTCTACTATGTTAAAGTTAAAACCTTCCTTTTTGAAAAAAAAAAAGAAAAGGGGAAGTGCTGTGGATATTTGTATGCTGTGAATGTGTTACTCTGATTGGTTAATAAATAAAGTGCTGATTGGTCAGTATCCAGGCAGAAAGTATAGGTGGAACAAAGAGAGAAGATAATTCTGGGAACAGGAGGGTTGAGTCAGGAAATGCTGCCAGCCACCGCCGCCATGAGAAGTGAGATGTAAAGTACCGGTAAGCCACAAGCCATGTGGCAACTTACAGATTAATAGAAATGGGCTAATTTAAGATATAATAACTAGATAGCAAGAAGCCTGAGCCATTAGGCCAAATAGTTTAAATAATATAAGCATCTGTGTGTTTATTTGGGTCTGAGTGACTGCGGGGCCGGGTGGGACTGGAGATAACTCCAGCTACAGGATGTCTGCAGAGGATACTGCTCTGCATCTGTTCAAGTTGTCATGGCACATTCCTGAGGTCCTTCCTGGAACTGAGTACAGCAGGTGGTCTGAGATGGTGGCTCTTTCCCTAAGGTAGAGCCTCTAAAGTCAAGTCTAGGCCTTCACAGTATCACCAAGACTCTTTGAGGCTTGGCTTTATCCTCTGAAGAGCCCTGCTTCTTCCAGGTACTAGCTTTTGCTATAGTCAGCTAAATTCCTGCTTCATATTTCTGTGGTCTGCAGTAGTTGCTCCCACATAGATTTAAGGATCCCATCCACAGATTTGTTTCTCAGCAGTGGCTCATGTTCTGAATCTATTCTCAAGGTTACATGCTTAGGATGAACATCCTTTGGCTATGGCCTTATACAGTCACCATTAGATGTATATTAGCTAGC